AGCGTAGTCATCGGGAAGACTGGAAGAATCCCTAGAAATAGCAATCGCTCACTGATTCTCATTTCATCAGTCTACTATGAGTAAGGTGACAAATTACTGGGAAATCTCTAAAAGTCCCTATATATATTCAATGGTCTCTTGTCAGAAGTATTAATTTTCAGGATATATATGATAGAGAGATAGTCGATCCAAGAACTTGATGATTCATTCGTTTTACTTAAAAGGGTTCTTATGGTGGTCATGTCTAGCCCTTTCCGAGAGACGATTCAGGTCCTTCGTTAAATTTAATAAATGACAGTTAAATCACCTTACTGAATGACATTCTAGTGGAACCTGTGTTTTACATAGTATAGTATCACACCTCATGATGCAGTTTGAAACCAAGACAAAACTTCCTCCGATGTACACTTGATTTCTGTTTATTAATATTTCGAATACACTTATTCTTCAAATACCAGTCAACGTAACCGAAACTAGTATAGCCATGGTTTAATTTACGTTACTCCGTTATAAGTTAAAGGAATATTACCGTTTTTTTTTTTTGAAGTTGTTTTCTAGAACAACATAAATCAAAATTTTGATTTTGCTAAGATAAATTATTTACTGATGGTAATGAAAAATTATTTTTCGTTATTCTATAAAAGCTATTATGTTTCATATCGTCCTAGTTTTGGTTAGCCTAGACGAAAACTTTAATAATTCTATATCTATAAAATAGTTTTATAAATGAGGACAAATTTTGACATAATAAAAAGTGAATCACATTGGATTACATAACTTACAAAAAGTAATAAGCTAATCTAAAACTGAAATGTATACTTACGAGAAAAAAATGGCGGGGGGGGGCGGTAAAGTGGAATTTGTTCTATTAGCAGGCGATTCATTATAAGTATGCACTAAACGATAGATTTAAACTACCACAAAAGACCGAAGGTCTTCACCATACTACAACAACATCCAAGACTTCTGTCAGCAGTAATTTAGTTGTTTCAGTAAGTTTTTTGAAGATTTCATGAATGCCGACTAGACATTTGTGATTCATTTTAAAGTCACCAAAATTTACAGTAAATTCTTAGATTCACAACTATCTCATCTAATTCTCTGATTGTGATTCATTTGAATCACAGTGTAGTGTTAACCGTTAAAGCGGTCGTACGTTATAAATTGATAAGAAATGATTAATAGTCACTAAGAGATGCTACAAGAAAGTCACTTTTCCACCCATGATGGAGTAAAACATTTTTTCACATAAAATATAATTTTTATACAGAGAATGCTAAATTGTGTTGAAAAACATCATTATAAAATGTCTTATTAGCTTTCTATGATGAAGCATATTTTGGGTGTAGAGTTCCCCAAAATACAGAACATAATCTTGAAGCTGTTTAGAACATCGCATCAAGATACAGTACTTAGATGGACGAAACTATCATCGATAATCATTCACTAAAACTTGAGATCCCTCTTTACAGCAACAGCTTGAAGAGGATATTTGATGCTCAATTTCAATTTGAACATAACTACTTGCCGGAAATAATACCTACTCTGTGATATCAATAATTGTTTGACTGCTGCTAATCTCTTTTGTGGTTTCTGAAACATCTTCACAGTTAACTAATCAACTAGTCAGGATTCCTCAAAGGATGAACCATCTAAATTTTCTTGGCAGTTATAGTAACAGAGATACTCTGAACAGGTGATTAAACTAGAGACCAATTTACCTACTGGTTCCGAAGGTAACTTGCCTGCTGTAGCCCTTTACTACGTGTTTTCTAGTACCCTACATCAAGTGATCTCAAATGAAAGTCACTATGCATCAAATTCACTCCTTGAATGATGAGACCTACATTAATAACGAAAGATGCCTGAGTTCCGGGTGTAACTACTTTCATTTAGACGATTACTCTTTCAGTGTCTATTTTCATGCACTACAACAAGTATTTCCAATGATATTAGTCTATATTATCTTCAAATTTAACATGAAGAACTGGAAATGCATTGATTTGGACATTCGACTTGGTTATATAACTGCGGATACTTTACTGATACTCCAGATTGTACACATCAGTCCTTTGTGGTTAGTAAAGCTAAGAACTTAAGAACTTTTTCATAAATAAACATTTATATTACTAAATAGCAAACTATGGAAGTGGACTAACGATGTTGGCTGGTTATGAAGCAAACTTTGAACACTGCGCAATTTTATTCCTAATAGTGGAACCAATCTATGTGATAGGAGGTGACAAATTCATATCCATCTCATGAACTGTGGCAAGTTTTAATGTGATTATGCACATCAATGATTTTATACGTGAATTAGCTAACATCAGCATGTGGAAAAAGATTCAGATTTTCAATACCAACGTCAAGTGAGTGCTGCTAAGTGATGTTTCAGAAACTCGGTGCTTTACGAAAGTGATTTCCAATAAACTATAGATATTGATCAACAACTGCGGCCTACTCTGGCTCCTCACTGAAGATCAGATGGTGAGAATAATGAGAATGAGCGACAAGGAACTCTGACTGGCTGTCAACAACAACCAACCAACGAAGCGAGAACCTATCACTCAACAAATATGGAGTGTAATTAAGTGTAGATGGATTGGATTGGGAATAGATTGAGAAGGCGGACTGGGGACATCAGGTGGCAGGTGAGGCACTGGAGTGTAACACAGATGGGGAAGGAAGAGTTTGGCTTGTGTGGTGAGTGTGATATGGGGGAGATGGTGTGAGGAAGAAATGAGAGGTTGTGTGTAGTCGTGGAGCTAGGTTGAATAGTTTACAGAGAAGAGAGTGCAGTGGAGACGTGTTGGTGAAACTGTGTGTTCCACTAGTAACCCAATGGACAAATAATAATAATAAAATCATTTTTTAAACTTTCAAGAATTATCAACTTGATGATGCCTACAACCTGGCATCTCTCACGTTAAATCCTTCATAAGAGAATAAAAATATTTCTACTATTATTGTTTATCCTTATTATATTACTCTCACTATTTAATTACAGTTATTACTAAACACTATGCAGTACTTTTTATCACGCATTTCCGTATTTCTGTTCATAAACATCACCTGTTAGTACAAGTGATTATCGGCGTTTCTTCTATACTCTGACCATCAATATTAAGCATTTACGAATAATAAATATATCCAGTAATATTTCAGATAACCACCTGTTATTAATCCAAACCAAATTGCATTTCATACCCACATGATAAGTCCCCTCGAATTCAAAAGTATAAAATTACTGTTTATCATAGTAGAAAATCGTGAAGATGATCCGATTCACCATATGACAATATGTTTTTCTAATAACTTATTGGAAATGGTGAAGAGAAGAATTCTTTTGACTTTTAACCTAATCGCATCCATTTGAGTCAAGCATACTGAGTGAAATTATGAAACCTCGTTGACATATAATAAGTAAAACTTCCTAATTGGATTACTACTACTACTACTACTACTACTACTACTACTACTACTACTACTACTACTACTACTACTACTACTACTACTACTACCCCTATAACTTCTACTACTACTACTACCCAGTGCTCATTAGGGTCTGGCTTGTAGAAAAGATGTACCAGAGTTCTAGTGAGAAGTCATGATTTATAGAGCAAACCTAGTCGGACATGAGGACAAGTACTCAGCTATGGGACCGGATGAAAGTCACGCTATATCATAAGTGAAAAAATGGGAAGTATTGGATTACGACACCGTGGTTCAATGATAACGTGCTGTCTGAGAAAATTAGAGATCCTGCGCTTAACTCTTTTGCTGGGGTCATGAATGTGGACTACCTTTAGACCCCAGTCTAAGCTCATGGTAGTTTGAACTACGAATTGATTTCAAGTAGAAAAGAACCAGAAACCAGTTAGCACGATAATAAAATTGTTTAGTTTTAGATTAGGAATATGAAGAACATTTAAGTGATGCAGTCCAGGGAAATACGATCAGGCGTCTTTGATACAACAGTTCATTCAATGGTTAAGAATGCAGTAATACATACCATCTAATTTCGGTCAATCATTGGTGGGGGAGCAGATATCACCAGGTATTATTTACTTCCAAGTAAACTGTTAACTGATTTCTGTTTCTAAGTTTTTCTGTTACCAGTGCTCATCTTTAGCAAAATTTATTGAGGTTTTAGCCATTTGATTAAAAGCGATCTGATCTACTATAACTCAATGATCTTCAGTAGTTAATGATAAAAGACCATTTGAGAATACTCCTGAAAACCCAAGGTCATTTGTAGATGTTAACATAGAGTATTTTTTTGGTGTATATCTTAGTTGTTTAACTAAACTTTTGATTGTTTCACCGCCTTCATGTTTTATTGAGATTTGAAAAGATACGATTTATAACTTGTGGAACTGTTGCTCATTGGTTTAGGAAGATAAATTTCAATCACTGGGTCATGAGTTCAAAACTCTGTCCAACCATAGTTATTTGGGCAGCTAGGTAGTATTATTAGCTTTAATGCAAATAGGTGTTGATCACTGACTACTACACGAATATACATGTGGTTACTGAGTGTATTTCAACGAATGACTTAAATTATAGTAAATCTGTGAAATAAACATATCTAAATACTAATCTCTGGGGAGTTTTAAGCAGTTACTGTGAAAAGTTACCCTCTCTTAGTGACAAAGTGATTTCGAGAAACGCTTAACTACAGGAGTGACAATAATAGCCAAGTTTGATAAATATTTGCAGCATATAGCATATATACGTCAAACTAAACGATAATTTTTTGAACTTACAGTACCTTATTCTGTTACATATCCATATTTGTGGGCATGGTCGTTATCTTTTTTTTAACCATGCTTATTTCCATGTTTAGTAATGATGGGCAGTGGGCTAGCAGTGGAATTCAGGATGCTCATTTCGTCCTATTTGGGACTATTTGGGACAAGCAAAAACACATGCTTATTTCCTGTAATAAAAATTTACCTTTAACCATAATATATTTTAAATTTATTGCCTTTTCCTTATAGTAAATCCACCAACTCGAAGTGAACAACTACAGTTGTCTAAGAAACACCAAAAAGATCACCAATCTCAACGTGATACTGAAATAAGTAGTATATCAATGCCTTTGACAACATTGGATGAGAATCAAAGGAATGCTAAAGAATCATTACATTTATGGCTTTCTGAAACACAACTCAATCAATTATTGGAATACAACTTTTTAGATGCATATCGTGCTCAAGCAGGTCAAGGCAGAAGTATATCTGATTTAACTTGGGACTCTAATCATTCACAGTCATATCAAAGTTTATGCTTTTGGCCAGATTCAATTTTACCAAAACAAACATGTTGTACATTCCAAATGGAGTTAGGATTACTTCAGAAAACTACTGAAGAATTACACTTGAGTTTATCAAATTATTTAGGTAGATGGCATAAAGAATTGTCAAGTCTACGAACTTCATTGAGAGGTAATTATTTAAAAGGATTTGATAAAATATTCATTTTTTTATTATAGAAAGTTGCCAACTATCTAAAACATGAGTGAAAACAATACCTTTTTACCTTAGGAATCTGTTAATGTTCATTTTTATTTGTTAACCAAATGTTTTAAGTTACTTTTTTGTTGTGATTTCACAGAAAACAAGGCACTACAGTTTAATACGTTTATATTTTGTGAAAAAAACCTATCAATGAAGAAGGACTATTTGTATAACATTTTTAATGGTGGTTAACCATGGAAATCAAGAAGCACATTTCTTACTATTTAAGATTCATCGATTGGATGGTATTTTGACTTACACTGAAACCCATCATCCATCATTTTACACACCACAGCGTTGCGCACTAAACTACTGAGTCAAAAGAAACATGAGTATTAGATACTTAGAACTATCCGTTGATATACTGAACCAAAATATTAGATTATTTTGACTTGTAGGTCTGTGTACAGAAGTCTCGCTACTGTCGAAACACTTGCTACGATGAAATTTTCTTCGGGGTGAAGAGCAGCGGAATTCAGGACCTATGTTTCGCTTTATTTGAGACTTGCCAGGTGGGCGCACCTTGATATATATGTATATATCTACCTTGAATTTTGGAACTGGTGGAGCAAAATAAATGATATATATATATATATATATATATATATATATATATATATAAAGAAGGAAGAAGAACGAAGATAAGGAGTGGATCTTGACGGACACATGGAAGCTGATAGAGCAAGGAGAGTAAGATGGTGAAGCAGAAGGTAAACCAGTGCAAGGATGCACAACGACAAAAGGAACTGAGTTACATGTATAAAACACTACACTGGACAAAGAAGTAAAGAAGAGTACACCGAAAAACAAAAGACACTTCTACGAAACACTACCAGGTGAAGCAGAACAGGCAGTTGGTAGGAGAGACAGAGACCTGACAACATTGTATCAAATAACCAGGAAGAGATCAACGCAGATGAAACTAATGAAAGATGAAGAAGGAAATCTAATTACCAAAGAAGAGAAACAATGTAAACGATAAGCTGACCACTTCAAAAAATTCTTGAATTGACCACCACCTGCACTTCGTCTAGAAATACAATCTGCAGCCACAGACCTACAAGTGAACACAAACCATCCAGCAAAAGTCGAAGTTCTGAATGCCATAAAGCTGCTGAAATGTGGAAAAGCAGCAGGATCAGATGGAATTCCACCAGAAACACTGAGTACAGACTCAGAGACAACAGCGGACATGCTCACACCACTATTGAAGGAAGTGTGGAGGGAAGGAAAGGTACCAGGCTATTAATTGGAAGAAGGGATACCTTAACAAAATTACAAAGAAGGTAGACATAAGTCTGTGCAAGAACTAGCGAGGGACCACTCTCCTGTCCATTCCAAGCAAAATATTACGCCCCATCACCTTGGACAGACTAAAGGATGCACTGGATTCAAAACTAAAACCAGAATAGGCTGCCTGGCTTCAGGAAGTACAAATCATTTGCAGACTGAATTGCAACGATATACTATGCATCATCATAGTATGGAATATAAAATGGCAGCCAACTCTCTACCTCAAATCCATCGACTTTGAAAAGGCCTTCGACAGCCTCAACCGACAACTAATTTGACAGGCAGCTGCTTCAACACTACCGTTCCGCTGACACACACATTCATTAACCTCATTCAACAAGAATATATGAAGACACCACATGCCACGTAATTCACAATGAGAAGCCCAATGTGATGCCTTTGAAGTGGAGTGAAGACAGGAGTAAAACGAGGCTGTCTACTATCACCAGTGATATCCGTGATTGTGGTCGACTGGACTGGATCATGCAACAAACAGTGAGGAATGAGAAGATGGGGATAGGCTGGTTGGACTGGTGAAAGTATACTAGCAGATTTGTGTTTCCCTGATGAATTGTGTCCAATATCTCACAAGCTTGTAGATGTAAAGGCGAAAACTAGGAAGTTGATAGAAGAGGTGATGGAGGGCAGTGAAGATGGGACTTCAAATGAAGGTGGAGAATATAGAGGTGATGAAGATACCCAAACAACACCACCAACAACAACAATAACAACAACAACGACAACAAGAAGCTCCAATCACGATGGATGGGAGAAATGTGAAGGAAGTAGTCTCTTTTACTTATGCAGACAGCAGCGTTTCAACTACAGGCGGTGGCACAAACACAGACGAGGACGTCAAAGCAGACAGGATTGGAAAGACAACAAGACAGGCCTTCATTCATCAACCTGAAACCAGTGTGGAGATCTGCTTCACTGCACTGCACTCAACTCCACTCAGCATGAGGCGTGGATAGCATCCGTATTTTCAACACCAACACTAGTCAAGTCAGTGCTGCTATGTGATGTTTCAGAAACTCGGTGCTTTACGAAAGTGATTTCCAACAAACTATAGATATTGATCAACAACTGCGGCGTTCGCTGGCTCCTCGCTGAAGATCAGATGGCCAGAATAATGAGAATGAGCGACAACGAACTCTGACTGGCTGTCAACAACAACAACCAACCAACGAAGCGAGAACCTATCACTCAACAAATATGGAGTGTAATTAAGTGTGGATGGATTGGATTGGGAATAGATTGAGAAGGCGGACTGGGGACATCAGGTGGCAGGTGAGGCACTGGAGTGTAACACAGATGGGAAACGACGAGTTTGGCGTGTGTGGTGAGTGTGATATGGGGGAGATGATGTGAGGAGGAAATGAGAGGTTGTGTGTAGTCGTGGAGCCAGGTTCGTAAGTTTGCTTAGAAGAGACTGGAATGGAGACGTGTTGTTGAAGGTGTATGTTCCACTAGGAACCCAAGGGAAGACACATAATAATGATGATAACTAAACACAGTATCGCAATTAGAGGGAATTGAAAAAATATTTTCCAAGCCGTTCATTATTTTTCTTTTTCCTCTGGGTTCCTAGTGGAACATATGGCTTCAGTAGCACATAGACATTTCCTTCTCTTCTCTGCAGTCTTTTCAACCTGGATCCACGATTGACCATATGTTTCATTTCTTTCTCACACGTTCTCCTCTATGTCAACCTTAGAAGCCCAAATTTGGCTGTCACTTGACGGTCTGGCCTGGCACATGTTGTCTCCAAATGGTCATATCCAATCTAATCTATCTCCATTTTCTTTTGCATATTGTTTGGGCGATGGCTTGTAATTGGTTTGTAGCCAGGCAGACTTTCTTGTTGCTTATTCTTACTGACCATTTATCTGATCTTCAGCATGGAGTGATTGTAGGCGGTAGTTTCTGAAGTATGTCTGTAGTTTGTTGGAAAAATGATTTATTAATGAACCTATGAATAGTAAAAATAGATAGCTCTCTGACCTTTTAAGCGATTAGTCCTGAGTTCATGCCCTAGTGAAAACTTCATCACTCTCTCTAAGGCAGGTACATTCAGCCGACAACGTCCAGTTCGGATGAAACGAGCAGTTTGCAACCTATTACTAATTATAATCTATTATTAATATCTCTGAAGAATACATTTCAATATTTAGACACTAGAGATTTCTTTCAGAACCTTAGCTAATTACACTCGACTGTTTGATGGAAGTTATTTAACAATCAGTATCAAAAGGTGTGTAAATGTTTATCTGATAAGGAAAATTTTTTTTTAATGTTGTCATCTTTACCAAAATAAGTAAAAGATAACACTTTTGGATAACATAACACTAAGAATTCTTAAAACTGAATATTTTATTGCTTCAGACATCCATTAGCAAAATGTTACACTCTTTACCTTATACAAAATAGGATTGTTAATGATGAAAAATAAGAAAGAAGGACTTATAACTTCCTTTTTTTTTAACATTATAAAACAAATCATAATTATTATCGGAGGGTATTTTTGTTGTTCTCTAATGATTCAAAGTTTTTAAAAAAGACGGCGCCATAATCAATTTTTCAAGTTTTATAGGTTATAATAGACAAAAATGCTTGTAGATGTTTTATGTTTTGCCTACTGTGATTTTGCGCAAGATAACTGTAAATCATTACATGTGAATATTTCTGTTCAATATGAAACCTACAGTCTATTAATTGTCATTGCCATTTATTAGTTATGCTGGTTAGTTAATATATATTTGATCAAAACAATCCTTTTGATTTTAGGAATGAGTAACCAAAAACTATTTATATCTAAAGAAAAATAATATTAGTGTAAGTTATTTACTTCATATCTCCTATACATATAAAACCCGATCCATGACACAATAGTCAATATAGTCGTTTAGCCTTCTACAATGTTTAACTGCCTTTTATGGTATCAACGACTGAACTAAATTTCAAGTTGATATTCATCAGGAAATGAAATCAGTTGCAGAAACATCAACAGCCTCGAAGTACTAGACAGCTGTTTCATCCGAGTATGGGAGTTCTCAACAGTGCGCATCCATGACTCTACTACTGATCGAAATTATGACCAGCAGGTTCTGTAGCCAACACCGTACCATTCAGCCACTGGATAGAAATCCAGCGGTTTATCTTTCTTAACTCTGTCACTTCACGACGTAGCATGACATCAATCCAATCTCATCATTGAATAACTGACCCTATGTCCAACTTGAAACAGTTTTCAGTGTTTCTCAGGCATAAAGGCACAAGACTAACGTCGACAACGACGAATTTGCCTTGCTGATTGATGATTTACTGGACTTCAGATATACTAAAACATCGACTTTGAAAAGGCCTTCGACAGCCTCAACCGACAACTAATTTGACAGGCAGCTGCTTCAACACTACGGTTTCGCTGCCACACACATTCATTAACCTCATTCAACAAGAATATATGAAGACAACACATGCCACGTAATTCACAATGAGAAGCCCAATGTGATGCCTTTGAAGTGGGGTGAAGACAGGAGTAAAACGAGGCTGTCTACTATCACCAGTGATATCCGTGATTGTGTTCGACTGGACTGGATCATGCAACAAACAGTGAGGAATGAGAAGATGGGGAT